GACTGATGAAGACCAAGACTGATGAAGACCATGACTGATGAAGACCATGACTGATGGAAGACCATGACTGATGAAGACCATGACTGATGAAGACCAAGACTGATGAAGACCATGACTGATGAAGACCATGACTGATGAAGACCAAGACTGATGAAGACCAAGACTGATGAAGACCATGACTGATGAAGACCATGACTGAACATCAAACGTGAAGATCTCGAAACAGTTCTGGGAACTGTTGTCTAGATGAGATAAAAGTTCACTTTGTTCCATCTGCTGTAAACGGCAGACAGAGGTCAAGTTAGGTCAGGTAGTTAGACCTAACAGTTGAACACAGTGGTGGTAGAGTGATAGTCTGGGGCTGCTTCTGGACCTGAACCACCTTCATGGAGCCACCAGGAAGTCCTGAAAAGAGAATTTTGGTCCATCAGTTCAGGACCTGAAGCTGAACAACACCAAGGTTTTGCAGCAGAACGTTGATCCACAGCCGGGAGACACTCATCATCTGTCACAACTGGACCGCTCATCGGCTATAGGACATGTCCTGCATGGACAGCTGTAGGACATGTCCTGCATGGACAGCTGTAGGACATGTCCTGCATGGTGTCCTTCGTGGTGTGACATCTGTCCACTTGGGGTCTGGCTGGTCTGGAGAACTTTGTTCTTTAATCCTTATTTTGATGCGGCATTTTGAGTTTTGTTTGATGTGAAACCAACAAAGTCCATGCTCAATAATCCAGGTACGCAATCCAACATTTTTCAGTCAGGTCATCTGGACAGTTTTTTTTTTTTCTGAAACGTTTCACCTTCCATCCAGAAGGCTTCATAAGTCAAGGAAACGCACAACACAAAACTGATTCTCCCCCCAACAGCTTACTCCAAAGTGGAACAAACCAGTTATGTTGGTGCTAAGATGGTGTCTTTGGCACGCCCCCTCCTCTGTTTCCGGCCCTCTTCCTCATCGACAGTCATGTCAAACTGGTTCAAAACCAAAATAGTCCATGCTCAATGAATGACTGATGAAGCCTTGTGGATGGAAGGTGAAACGTTTCAGCAAAAAAAAAAGAAACCGTCCAGATGACCTGACTGAAAGTTGTTGGTTTGATGTGAAACGTTTCGGTGCGACAGAAAACTAAAATGGATAAGTGGCACAAACGGTGCTGCATGTCAGATTTCATCTGTGACTCGTGTCCTGATGGTACTTTGATATTTGAAGCTCTGAAGCTCTTTGAACACTTGATTTTGAAAACTAAATCCCTGAAATATTTCTGGACCTGCCTTCATTGTAAAATCCATCCATCCATTATCTTTACCCGTTTATTCCATTTTGGGTCACGGGGGTCGCTGGTGCCCATGTCCAGCAATCACTGTGCGAGGGGCGGGGGACACCCTGGACAGGTCTCCAGTCCATCACAGGGACACATAGAGACAAACGAGACAAACAACCATTCACTCTCTCATTCACACCTAGGGACAATTTAGAGTTGCCAATCAGCCTAACATGCATGTTTTTGGTCTGTGGGAGGAAACTGGAGTACACGGAGAAAACCCACGCATGCACGGAGAGAACATGCAAACTCCACCCAGAAAGGCCCCTGGACCGGGGTTTGAACCAGGGACCTGCTCGCTGAGAGGCAGCAGCTCTACCAGTTGCACCACCGTGCTGCCCCGTTGTAAAATCGTCCATCTTTATTTGATCCTTTTTAAATTGTGTGAATCTTTGTTTTTCAGCCTCTGTTCCTGTACGTGGCTCTGCAGTCTGTGCACGAGCCTCTGCAGGTGCCCGAGCGCTACCTGAGTCCCTACAGCTTCATCAGAGACCCTCAGCGCAGGTTGTACGCCGGCATGGTTTCCGCCATGGACGAGGCTGTGGGCAACATCAGCCTGGCTCTGCAGCAGACCGGACTCTGGGACAACACGGTCCTGGTGTTCTCCACAGGTACTGAGCTGGTTTGAGGGAACCAGGACAGACTTCTGGTCCTGCATAGACCTCACAGAGACCACCTGGTCTTATAAAACTGTTAGGACCAGAGCTTCTATGGGCCGCGGTGCAGACTACATCTGCAGATTACTGAAAGTCTGAACCGTAGCTGGGGATGTGATTTGTTTTCAAGATGAATGTTTTTTTTTCTGTAATGGAATCAAACGGGGAGTGAAGTAAACCTAAATGTTTTTCAGACGAGACATATTTAATGAAGGAGTTTCCCTGAGAAGAAGATCTGAGGGAGGTCTATTTGTTCTTGCTTGTTCGAGGCGGCACCCTGAGACAAGTGTTTGAGAGCAAATGGAGTTCCTGAATGAGTCCAAGCTAATAACCTCATTGATATAACTTCATTGATATAACCTAACTAATATAACCTTACTAATATAACCTCATTAATGTAGCCTCATTGATGTAACCTCATTAATGCAATCTCATTGATGTAACCTCAT